AGAGCTGCCGTGCTTCGTCGCGTCGACCGCTACGCAGCCGCCGAACAATTGGCTCAGTCAAAGTTTCGTTGGAACGATTGCGTCCTCATTGAAAGTTTTTACTTTTGTGTTTTCAATTTCGATTCTTCATCAACGAGTGTTCACCATCGAAATGGCTACTGCACAGGTTACTTCGCGTGTCTTGAAGCATTCAATTTTGGAAGCTTTACTCGCGGTTCTTGATAGTAAAGCTTTTTTCACTTTCAGAGCAATGCGGAAGTCATATCTTCTATGGAACGTCAGTATGCGGAACAAAAGGCGAAGTTCGAAAAGTGGAAAATTGATAACAGGTAAATTCTTTTGAAGCTAATATGCATTGATGCCGATCTAAAGAGTCGTAAATATGGTTTGTTGGTGATCATGATGTACTTGGCATTGAGAATTAATCAGTAAGTGAAACAAGAAGTGATTGCTGTTTATTGGTTTCTTTGCATGGGATAATGAATTGGAAATAAAAAATTGGGAAGTATTTTTCAAGTTTTGCCTTACTTTAACCATCCAAGCTGTAGTGTTTGCTAGCTTCTTTTGCAGTATTGCACTTATTACAACCCCAGTGGTGGTAAAATGGGCCAAAAAATTTTCTCTGAGGCCTTTCCTATGGAAGTTGTCGAGACTCCTGATCACGAAGATAACATCAATTTTTAGTGCTGGCGCCACGGCTGTTTTCCCAACTTCTAGGTATTCATGTGTATGGGGGTTATATGGGATCCTGATTACGAATGTGACATTTGATCTTGGCATTCACGCTAATTACCGCTTACTTTCTGTTCTCCTGGGCTCTCTCACTAATAGTGCCTGAGACTAATAAGCTTAGGGGAGAACGGTGAAACTCCGGAGTGGGTAAACCACGCACCGTGTGGCAAAAGTTGGAGTGTGTCAGACCACAGGGGAGTGGCCTACTCACTTTGGAGCCCTCCACTATTCAAAGGCTTAGTCCTGATTGCGATCTAATTAGTGCGAGGGCGCAGACGAGCAGGAAATAGGCGCCAAATAGCGCTAGCGCCAAAATGGATGTCATATTCGTGATTAGGACTCTCGATAACCCTCATTGGAGAATTGTCAGCGAAACAAATTTTTTAACCCATCTCGCCCCTGCTGGCGTTGTAATGGCGCAATAGTGGCGGTTCTTTTTTTTAAAGATTGCAAAAAGATATAAGTAAAATCGAAGTTCCATTTGAACCCTGCTCTCGTTTAATTCATTTGCTAATCACTTTACTGACAAAGTCCCGTCTTCATCAAAGTTGAACTTTCAGTCGGCAGATTGGTACCGAATCTTATAATAAGTATGTGCAGCAATTCCTTCAATGGGAAAAGGAGGTTTTCGAAAAGTGAGTTTTTCTGACTACCTTAACTCTTGACTGCAATCTTGTTCATACGCTAGTGCCTTAGTTTGATGTGATTACTTTTCAGAAAAGCCAAAGTTGTCGCGCTTGCTCAGTCTGAAGCAGCAATCGCAGGGCCGGCAAATGTAGATTCCATTCTCGGTAATTCAGTCTTACTCAATTTTTGTTGATAATAGTTTCAGCATGAAGGATCGTTTTGTTAGTTTCTAGTGCTTATTAATGCTTATTTCAGGCCAATTGTTAGATGACGTACTTCCTATGGAATTTTTGATGGCTCTTGTGACAGTCCATATGAAAGATAATACGTTCCTGCCTTGTGTGATAGAGAATTTCAGAAAAGCTCAAAGTGCGTTTTCAAACCTTTGTATTTATTTTTTTAGTTTATTATGTTCCCAAGATTTATAGGAGTTTCTGTAACATTATTTCCTCAAAATATTGAAGGATAAGTTGTTTCACTCTCACTTGACCTAATCGCTATTTGCTACCATCATAAGTATGATCTTGACAACAGCCTTTAGCACTGGGATTAGGTCTCTCCTTTTCTACAGACACAACCCAGTTGTTTAAATGTCCTAATATGTCACCAGCGCTTGGAATCCACAGCACGAAAATTAGCTTCACATTGCTTGGGTGCACGCATCATAACGTTGAATACAGGATGTGGTAGCTTCCAATCTCCTCTGCCTACTTGAAGTTTTTTTTGGATAATTACGTGAACCCCTCTCGCTTTCTCAAACGAATGGCTGCAAAATTATCAGTCTACACGAGCACTTATATGTAGTGGTTGTTTTGCGATTCTGTGAATTATACGAACACGACTGGAACCATTCATTGTGGCTAAAAGGGTCTATAAACAGCCCTGCCAACTCCCATCGTCAGAGTTTCTGATAATCACATTGTTCATTCGATCGTAAAAAGATATTCCAAGTCTTTTAACTCCAGTTTGTGCGATTCAGACCTTTCGCTTTCATTTACTGTGCGCCTTATTGATCATCATTATAGTTTGCAATGTTCAACAGTATGATCAGAATTAGTGTGGAAATCAATTCTCTAAACGGCTTTTCTTACTGGAAATATTTAACCTCATTCGTGCGATCTAACCGCACTATCACTGCCATACCACTGCTAGACATCAAAATGTCAACAACTGAGTCGTTCCCAACATTGATGAGAACCATTCATTAGAAGAATTTTCTTAATTTCTCTCATTTCAGCTGGAGAGTTGGATCAATCTAAACTTCTTGTTTCTGCCTCGCAGTACCATCCTTCCGTAGGTGGGTACTTAATTCCTTGCCTTTGTTTCCGAACCATTTTCGAAAAGTTTGATTGTCGTGAAAATTGAGCCTGTCGAATGATGAGTGTGATACATTTAAATTGTGACCGGAAACGTAAGCCTTTGGCGACAATGTGTCGCCTTTGTCGCCAAAGCATGGATTTGTATTATTGTAGTATCGTGCAGTTTCCTCATATACGTGACCGATGTGAGTTGCTCATTCAACACATAGCGGTAGTGTTCTTGCATATGAGCGTATGAATGTTTAAGAAGGGTCATCGCATACCCACCCTTCCTCTTCAATAATATATGAAGTTATCAATCATACAGCAGCCGCTGCGAAATGTTCACTCACATAAAAAGTGGTCGTTTCCACCAGTGGAGTGGAGTTACGAATAGTCATTGCTGGTTATGAAGGAACATCAAGAACTCTTGGATTTTGCTATTCTCAAAAAATCTCGGAAAAATGCTGGCATAATACTTACTGATCTATATTCCCTTTGCTAAGCCAGAATTAGTTCATATGAATGTAGACTTCTTGGCTTAAAGCGAAGGTGTTAATCGAAGCTGAGCGCACGAGAACTTTTTTCAAAACTGCCCGTAACTTGTAATCTCGACTGAAATATTGAAATTTCTCTCGATGGTCACCTTCAGTGTTATTTTAACGAGTTTGCAGCTCCAGCTCCACAGTACTACCATCATGTTGGCACAGCATCGCACACAGGTATGACGTTACACGCTGCTCCTAGTACCGCAGTCACATGGGCGACGACTGTAGCGCCAACGGGCCCTAAGTACAGGTCGGTCCCATATTTCATACAGGCTTTTTTAGTGCTTCATATTAGAGAGATATTATTGCTAGTGACTCTGTTGTCATCAGCGAAGCCCTTGTAAAAGGGATTTGCTTTTTTTATTGTGAGATTTGTTTGCTTATTCGGTACCAGTTTCATTCGGGCAACCGCCTTTACCTTGCTTTTCCCGCTTATGCCGTGCTCGTTTCCGCTTGAGATTTTCACTCCTGTCAACTGCGACAACACCCATCACCACGCATGTAATGTAAGACTGCCTACTTTGCCTCTCATATTTCATTCATAGTAAGGCCTCATATCGCAATCAAAACATCACAGTATGAAACCTCAGCGCTGATTTGAAACCCGGGTTTCGGCGGTTAATTCGCCCTATTTTTTGACGGCTCTCCTTTTGCTGCCTCCACCTGCCACTGCAGCACTATACGGAATGGCCCAGAATGTGTTTATTGGGTTTTCTAAGTTGAAGTTGGAGATATTACCTT